TCTGGTCTAACTCCCTGCTCTAAGCAGGGTACTGCTATTCTAACCTCTTTTATTATCTATTGATTAGGAAACATATTATGGGGAGTATATCAATACGGATGTATTTTTTTTGTGCTTTCTCTTGGCATTGTTGTAATTGTGTCATGCTGTTATGTGCTAGCATGGTGAGGTATGTCTACATCCGAGTCATCCAAGTGCCTGCAACCTGTAAGCAAAGRAGATTTTGTACCTCTAGCAGTCTCTGTTAGCACCTGGGGCACAAAGTGCCTGACCACAACTGAGTCTTTTGCTTCAGTTGCAAAACTGAGTTAGCTAATGGAAAAATAGCTCCAGTATTGGCCTGGTGTGGTTTAATCTCTCCTGTGACTCTAATGTAGACATATCAGTCGTCATATATCCCAGAATATAATGTGTGTGTGAATAGAGCTTATGYATGTGTGTTGTTTATCTGTAAATATATATATATGTATATACACACGTATGTATTTACATATGTATGTCTGTATATCTATATACATACATTATATATATATATATATGGTTTGACTATTACTGAAAAAAAAGCTTGCTTTCTTTTTTTTTGTTTTATTTTACTGTAGTACCTAAAAGCTTTATCTTTCTGGCATTTAATAATTATGGCAGCATGTACTTTTATGTGAAGTTTCTTTATACTTTTGGGCGAGTGATGATCTACTGAAGCCAGCCAGTCACCGCTTTCTCTTGAAACCTTAACAGTGTAATGCACCTTCCCATTTTCCTACATTTTTATTACAGTACTTAGATTCAGTAAGCTTCCTTGGTACTAGAAATCTCACTTGTTTGCAAACATGCTTATCTGTGTTATGCTAATAGACGATCTTGTGTCTGTGACTAAACAGCAAAGTTCCTATAGATAGTAGAAGAGTAACATGTCCAAGGATTGAAATCCAGCAACCATCCACAGACACAGACAGGTATTACCATTGTGTAGTAGCTGGAGTTTGAAATGATGATCATTAGAAAATGTATTGCTGTATTTTCCTTGTTCCATGTTCAGTATTTCTAGATTAAAAAAAAAAAAAGATTTAGGAGCTGAATTATAGTATGCTATAATTCTATTACAATTCTATTTTTACTTCTTCAGTTTTTTGTTACAAGAATGGAGCACTTTTCAATTTTGGATTGGCATGATGTCCTAGCCTACCTTTCAGTCTTGCACCCAGCTGAAAGAATATTTTATGGGTTATCAAATGGACTGCTTTCAGTTATTTGGGGGAAAAACAACTTCTATTCATGTCAGAAGCTTTTATGATTGCTTACTGCTCAGAAATGTTCATTTTTTATGGCTTACTATATACATAAGTTTAGATCAATTATTTTATTCATTTGTTGAATATTCTCTTTCTTTTTAAGTAACAAATCTGAAAAATTAAAAATTAGAAATGGTTACCTTCTGCATTGGGAAAACAGCTTTGGAATATCCCAGAATATGAGTAGAAAGCAATGCAGATAAATCAGTAGTGAATATAAAATGTTGTGGTGTCTTTGGTTAGATATTTTAGTTACTAGAATATACAGCAGTTCCTGAGTATGCTGGGGTTCATCTTCTGAATTTTTAAAATAAATTTTTATGGGTTTGGAATATAAATCTGTAGCTGAATACTCACAAAGCTTTTCTGCGTGGTGCCTTAGAGAGAGCTCAAACAGCTTCACAGTGATAGATGGTTGGTTGTTGCTTTGCTTTTCCTTCAGCCTATGGGAGATATATGCTTGCAAATCTCCTGCACTTTCATGTGGGATGAGACCACCTACTATGAATGTTTTCCCTAGCAAAGAAAGAGGATGCTGTAGTTGGTGATGCTAAATGATGAGATCATTCTTTGCCATTTCCTTAACTACACATTTTTTAATAAAAGTTTTGTTAGCAATGATAAAAACCTCTAGCATATATTAAGAGATTATGTGGATATCAAATATATAACTTTAAATTTAATTACTATTTATTATTGCTAATTAATTATTTGTTTAAATTGTATTTATTTGACTATTATTTTTTCCTGTTTAAACATTGGTAATTCATATTTTATGAAACATAATCAGGTTGGGTGTAACTTTGAGATGGATCTAGATAACTTGGGAACATAAACCCTCATGAAAAGCCAGAGTATTTTGTACTGTGTTTAGTGTGCTTTAAAATTTCCACTCTCCACTTATGACTGGATTGTGATATTTCTGTGTATCTGTATGTTGTGGTAGGTGGGGAGCTTCATTGCCTAAGCTGCTTATTAGAGTGGGGTTTTTTTTTCTATAAAAGGGGCACAGTTCATCTCTTAAGATCTGGCTCTTATAGCACATGTGTCCCTGATAGAAAAGACAAAGAATATCTGAGGACAAAGACTATGGCTCTTTCCATCCACACCATAAATCTGTCTGTTGAAATGTTCTACAAATAAGTAGAACTAAAGACATACAAGGCTGTTACTGTACTGCTAGATAAGTATTTTTTCCCCATGAGTACTAGAGGTTTGCAGCATATAGTCTATAATTCAGGGGTGACAACTCAGTTTTACCTCAGGTTTCACCTAATCCTTTCCATCTATAAAAGCAGTAGTGCTGCTGCAACTTGGTCAAAAAGCAGAAACTTCACTGCCGAAATCCATGTTTTCCTTCACTTCCAGGAATTCCTATTTGTTTTTCTACCAGCACTGGATATTATTTATATTATATTTTATATGCATGTATTTATTATTAACTGCTGAATATAAAATTTCTGCAGCATTTATTTCTTAACAGAATGGCTCTATGCTCTGCAGAATATACTAAATGGCTTAGAATAGTAAGCCACTAATATTGGCCCTTATGATATAAATGCCTTCCTTCTCCCAATATAGGGAATGGATCAGATCCATAGTATCCTAAAAATACTTCTTATACAATTGTTAAAGAGAATGAGGCCTTAAAAGTGATACAGAAAAGAGGCTTAACTACTCACAGAGTGTGTGCGTGAATTCTGGGGTGACTGCTCACCTGTTTCTCCATATGTCCTACGTGCGGCTGGAAGAGGAGGATACCTAGAGGAAGGGATTGTACCTCTGGCCATGTTGCCCAGCTCCTGCCTCAGCCCTGCTGCACTGTGCACCACCAACTTGCTGAAGGAATTAAGGGGATTACAGCTCTCTCTGTGCTGGAGGCCAGAGAAGAAAGACAGTCTCTATGGAATCATCAATTTTCTTGCACATATGAGTGCACTAGATGGGGATTAGACTCAATCTGGACCTAAATCATATTCTCTTTTGCAATACATAGTACTGAAACCCCTCTTAAGTGGTTATGTAAGCTGAGCAACAGCCATTTCAAAGCTGAGGTTATGTTTCTTTGTTTGCCCGCAATGTAAAAGAAGCGAGACAGTGGATGTTTTTGCTGATGAAGTTTCCCATTCAGAAACAGAACGGGTAGAAGAAGATGTGAGGTAATGTGGTTGTGGTTTTGTGCCAGGCTCGTTGTACTTTCCCTTCAGTCTCTAGTGCTTCAGCTTGTGATTACCATGACGTGTCTCACTGTGGTGTGTTTGCTTGTTAGGAGCTGTAGAAGTAGRCTCTGGTGAATGGCATTATTCTGAACCTGTCTGTGGGAGGAGTTCTGGTTCTCTGGGAACCCAGTTACTACCTCATGGAAAGTGTGAAGTGACATTCATTTTAATGATTTTTTTATCAACRTATTCAGCAAAATTAGTAGCGCTAGAGTAAACTTGATTCTGTCTCTGTGTGGCCTCTTAGAAATATAATGCTGTCAATAACACAAGACTGTTCATAATGATACRTCTCTCTTTCGATACTAATTAAAATTTGGCTTTATGTAATACTTAAATCACCATCCAGTTACTCCTTGTATTAACTGACTTCATTATAAAGTAAGTGAGTTAGCTCAAGAAAAAGACCCAAAGGCTATGTGTTCATCATTCCTATTCTACAACAGTTCACTTACTCAGGCAGAGCTGGAAGAGTGAAAACTTAATAAATAGCTCCATTAAGGTATACATTTTATTTTTAAAATTATGGTAACTTTATGTATTTAGAGGTTGTAAATTTTACTCCTTGCAAATACAGCAACTATATTGTGCATATGAAAGGTGGGCCTGAATTAGTTTCTGAAAGTAGTGGCATGTCTGCCTATGATAGTAGAAGACCAGACTGGTCAAGCCAGAAGTTCACTTCTATTTGATTCACTTTCTCCCTGTTGCTTCTCYAATGCTGGCTTTTTTCCTTTGCTATTTTGGCACTGTTCTCTAAGCTGAGGGTGAGAAGTTTTTTTTGTTTGTTTTTTAATATATTAAAAACAAACTATCTAGTTGGTGGAACTTCTGCAAGTGTGAGTGATATTGTAGTCCTCCCTCTAATTGCAGTCTGAATACTGCATATGGATCCATTGCTACAGCCTGCTTGTATTTTGGCAGATACCATGAGTTTAATAATACAGATAACAGCAACTTATGGTGATTATAACATCTGGTGGTATCTGTTTTTTGCTGTGGAGTTTATCCCTATGAATATCTGTTCATGAGAACTACCTCTAAAGATAACAGACTCCAAAAATCTGCTCCTGTGAGTAAAAAGGTGCAATGAAAATGCAAAAAAAAAAAAAAAAAAAAGAAAATCAGTTTTCAGAGTTACTGTTATGTCACCTACCTTTTCCTCCAAAATGGATGCATAAATTAACAAAATAGCAATGTTTTTATTCAGATGTTGTCAGGAAACAGACTATTGCATGGATAGTCATTACAGACACACTGGAAACATTTCAGCCCATTTATCAAGAGTTTTCTCTGAGCAAGCTAAAGCATACATCTTTTAAAGAAAACTGTATGTTATCAAGAAGCAAACTCAGAAAATTTACCAAAAAAAAACCAACAACAAAAATGTGCATAACAAAATGCTTCTCTCCAAGCCAATATCGTGCAGCATATTTTCTGAGTACTAGGAGAGCCCCAGGTCAACTGAGCTGCTTTTTAACTAACATTACAGGAATTGTGAAGCAGCATCTAGACAGCCCTATCAAAGATCCAGATCAACAGAGCAACGTGCTGTGCTGGAGCGGACCAACTCCCGCTCCCGATCCACAGAGCGTCCTGACTCAAACCTCATCAGGTCGATGCCTTCATTAATGACGGGAAGATCTGCCCCTCCTTCACCCGCCTTACCGAGGTGAAACAGACACCACAAGCAGACTAATCCCCTTCCGCCCCGCTCCCGGCTCACCATCTTCTTTTCCCAGTAGCTAATTGCTACCGCCTGTCATCCGTAGCCGATCACTAGTAGCGATAGATACTAACCCCCTCAGTGCCAACACACTATTTATATTCTGCTACGGATATAATGGTGTGGTTGCCATTGTAATTTGTTTTTACTAATGGTCTTTAACAACATTCATTTGTGGTTTCTCATTTGTCAGGGATCCGGGATGGTTTCCCACATAAAGCACCTCATAACTGTCACGTTCTTCTCTTGCAGAAGGAGAATTTGTTTGTCTTCATCAGACATCGCTTAAGGAGCAACCATCATAAAAACATCAAAGGAAACTTTTTTTTTAAAAAAAGAAGTTTCTTTAAACAGTACCAACTTTGTGTATTAACTTCCATTTTAACCACTGTTTCTTCCAAATACATTTTACTGTGCCATAGTCTGTATTGTTCCTGTTTGAGTACAATACTATATCTTTACTGATTGACACTCGCAGATTTCTATAAATTACTCTTAAATAACTATACTACAACAACCAATTGAGTACATTTAGTCTAGCTGATGTTCAGTAAAGCCTCTCCTTATTTTAGGACTGCAGAATAGACTCTTGCTTTCCAAAAGTGGAACATCAAAAAACAAATCCCAGTGTCCTCTCTCAGATTTTTACCTTGTTTTGTTTGATCAAATCCTTTTAACCTCATTGCCACTCCATGGAATTTTAATTAAATAAAAAATAAGTAAAGATACTAGAATTTGGCCCATAATTTATTTTATGTATATGTGGGTATTACATCCATGTGTAAATATACACACAATACATTTTTGACTTGACTGAGCAAACAAGTAGCATATAGGTACTTAGCCTTATTTTGGCTTTATTTATTTRTTTGTTTGTTTGTTTGTTTATTTCCTTTTTTCAGAGAMAGATTTCTCTTTTTGACCAGGAGTTTTTTTGGAAAGGGTAATAGTTTTGCTGTGGGACCAAGGGATTTGCAAAGCTCCTAAGTGATCTCAGCCTTCTTAGAAATTTTACCAGATCTTACAGGTATTTAAAGATGAATTTGGCTTTTAATGGCTGTGGTTTGTTTTGATATGTGTCTCATAGGTCCCATCCTCGGACCGGATCTGTTCAAACAAGCCCATCAAGCACTCCAGTAGTAGGACGAAGGGGGAGGCAGTTACCACAGCTCCCACCAAAAGGGACATTGGAGAGAAGTAAGTGTATGGTTATTTGCTTGATCACATTTCAGAATTGCTCATGAAGATTGATTGATTGATTTCCTTTTCTTTTGGTGTTACAGTTTAAAGCTCTTGAGGTTTTGTGCATATGACTAGATTCTATATTACTGTTGTATTCTGTAAAGTCTTTTCTTTCAGTATGTTTTAATATCTGCAATGAGAGATACTACAAGGATTTCTTGATTGAAAGGAATCATCAACAGTACAGTCATCAACAATAATACAATAAAYATGTTAGTTACTGGACTATTTAGCATGATCCTGTTCCTTTTGAATTCAGTAGGTGTTTTGTCGTTGACTTCAGCAGGCACAGGAAATGAGCTTTTGTATGTTGTTCAGGGAYAAAACTCTGGCTCTTCTGGAAGTTATGAGCATAGTTGATCGCTTGTGGGCTCACATGCAGTGTACTGTAATACAAATAGTCATATAAAGCCTCTGCACCTTGAAACAGGAGGAACAAGAAAAGAGGTAAYAGTGCTTAAAATAGAAAAGGTCAACAAGATATTTTGTGATTCATGATSTACTGATACTGTGAATGTGGTTATTTTCAGTGTTTCATAAAAGCATGGGTCGGCAGAAGCATTTACAAAATGTTCAGAAAGAGAGGAATAGAAATACATTTTTGATAGCCAATCACTCTTCGGTTATCTATCTGTTGTGCAAAATCAGTCTAAATGGCCATATACTCTGTTTTGATTTTTGCTTTTGTTTTTGTTTTTTTTTTTTAAGTCCTTCTGAACATGTATATTGTATCTTTTATGAAACTTCTGTTGTTTTTAACCCCTGTGCTTTGGTTCCCTTTTTTTGTTTCTGTTCTGTTACTTTCCCTAGACAATGGAGACAAGGAGATAGAACCTTATGAAGGTCTGTACATAAAGGAGGGTTTGTTTTTCACCTGAAAGCCTTTTTGAGAGGCATATAGGCAAAAATAAACCCAACTGCAATTGATGTTGCATAATTTCATAGACTTAACCTGAATTATTATGATCATTTTTCACTTTTTTTAAAAAATATTCACATTTGTGGCTCATAATTTTTAGAGGATTTTATATAAAAAAGAGAAAACAAATAATATTATCTAAATATTATCATAATTGAAAAAGTGCCCAGACATATATGCATCTTTAAATACTAAAAATTTACCCTTCTTCAAATGAATATTTGAGGTTCAATTGAAGCCAATTAACATAAACATTTATGTTTCTCTTTTCAGGATTTATTCTTTAGGAACATATTTGAATTTAAGCAATTAAGAGTATTTGGCACGGTTAGTGTTAACCACGCATTTAATCAAAATTATATTTTTATTACAATTTTGCAAGTACTATGTAATACAGTTGTCTAAAGCAATTTCTGAATTACTAGATAATTTTTAAACTACATGGAAGCAAAAATTATTTGAATCAAGACAATCTTTTGAAAAAAGTGATAAAAATTCTGCTTTAAATTATATCCCCTTRTATTTCATACAGTTAAAACTCTTTAAGTTGCTTCCTAGCAAGCTATAAGATATCAATTGCAGTCCTTGGTTATACCACTGAAGATCTATATGTAGTAAAATCGTATCTGTCCCATCAGATTTTTTTTTTGTAGTATTTACAATGTTTATGGTGTTTATCTGCATCTCAGAATCAAAATTTCATGAAATRAAAACTCTTGTTTTCTCAGATCATCACCTTAGTATACACATTTCTCCGTTGTCTTATGTGTTGTGAAATGCTTATACAAGTTATAATGAAGCTGTGCCAGGAACTAATTGCATCTGCTCACATGATGTTTGCTGTCATTGTTGTATATGCTTTCATGTTTTACCACTTTTCCCTGCTCTTTGCTTAGTATATCTATTTAGACTGTGAGCTCTCTGGGGCAGCAATTGTGATAGACTGCATATTTTTACCACGTTTCATTAGAGTGACCAGCAGTCTTACCTGCCTCCTAAGGTCATCRTAGAAGAATATAATAAATACATTACAAAGAGTATTTTTATAGGAATGCTAAAATTGTGTCCTGTGGTAAGTATTTCTTGGACTTGAGAAGCTGAATAATATTCTACTGTACCTTTGTCTAAGAGAAGTCTTTAGGTAAATCTAGGTTACAGAAGATTGTGAAGTGGATAGATACAGGAATTTTAACAAACAATCAAAGCATCGTCAGAGATTGAAGCTACAATACCTAGMCATATTCATGTTACAGTTTGTTCAAATAAAGAAGTTAAACACTGTAATTTATGAAACACAACCCATAATTTGCAGGCTTTCACACAATATTCTACATAATTTTGCGTTATGAATTAGGAGTTCATATTCTGTTCAAACTATGTAATTCTATTTTGAGGCTTTTTGTATCCTTCTTCAGGGTCACCACTTTCTTTAAAATTATTTAACTTTTCTCAGGGACTGAAGATAKTCATGACTAATTGTTGTTTTTAAATGCAATTTATTGCACTTACAAAAAAAAATTATGAGCGAGTGAAGTGCTAGTAACAACTGATATTTAGTAGACTGACTACAGGCAATATAAATAATAATAGTAAATAAAATAAAGCAGCAAGTAAACCTGAAAACTTTATACCCAATGTGGTGTTGTATGTTCTGGTGATAATTAAGAGTTGTCAAAATACAAAGCTCAAATGACCATATCAGAAAACATTATTTTTCCAAATAAGTAGCTTCTTCTGTCATTCTTTAAAACATATCTTTAACTGAAAATGAGAAATAGGATTTAGTATTCCATGGGAACGTGTTCTGAAGGTTAAGTTTTCTGAATTTTGAAATGCAGTGTTTAGATGTTGACTAGATGAATTAAAAATGCTACTGAAGAAAAGAGTTAGTAATAGATACATTATGGCCAAAAAGGAGTTAGGAGTCACCTCAGCTGTGTGAAATAAGGAAAAWGAAACTGCTCGGTGTTTGTAGCTCTTAGAGTGTTATCATTCAGTTTYTATAAATTTGAATATTCTGCATTTGTTACAAGTTTGCAGTTGCATTACMTTTTTTAACAAGTAGTAAAAAGATTGAGACTCAAATAGAAATAAAGGAATGTTTTGCAATTGGGGAGACTTTTTATTTTACTGCAGYCCTTAATGCAATGTGTTATATGCCATGGGAATAGAATTGGAAAGGAAAGAACCTGCAGGAAAAAAGAAGCTCTAAGTTACTGGTCTCCAGGTTAGGATCAGAATTAAAAGGCATTGGTTTGAGGTAAATTTAACATAATGAACTGTGTTTACAGGCTTTTGCTCCAGTTTATATAGGTTGTTCCTGGATAACCTATTTCTAGAGACCATAGAGAGGTTTGTTTTTAAGAAATTAGCCTGCGAGTAGCTATGACGAACTATTTGAAACAATAGTGCATTGACCTGTGTATTTTGTCACCATCCCACATATGCAATTGGAGAAGATCCACATATCATTATCTGTGTCATACTTAAAATCTTTTATAGTCATCAAATTTCAGTTAATTCCCTCCTGTGGAATTTGGAATATGGTTAATTCCACAGCTCTGATGCTTCCAGGATCTGATTTAGCCTGTTTGAAAGACAGACTGGTTACCTCTGAAAGACATATTCTCTAGCCAGAATGTACCATATATGTAYAGAGAAATTTTTTAATATTTTCTTAAATTTATTATATTTTCAAGCAAGATGAGTGGAAAATGCTTAAACATTTTTTTTTTTTTGAGGAAGTCTGGAACCACTTGAGATTTCTGTCAAATATGTTTACTTTTTACTTTAGCTTTGTTTTATGTATTTGCAATTTATGCTACAGCTAGAGGCATTTTGCTTAAAACTAACATCCATAGAATACTATTAAGTACTATTAAGTACTATTAAGTACTATTAAGTGGAGCTTGTTTTTTTGTTTTGGAATTACATCTTTTACATGTTCTATATAATTAGCGCTATAGACGATAAGTGTATACCGTAATATTTATAGCTCTGAAGGGTTAACAAGATCCTTTTCCCTTATGTATGGCTAGAGTATATTTCTCCGTTCTTACGGGCCTTGATAGAAGGATAAGCTCAGAGACTGCTGCTCCTAATGAAAATAGAACACCATGAAGAGGTCTTGACAGTGTTCAGTATTAGTTCTTTGAATTTGTAGTTAATTACTAATCAAAGTTTTTTTGTTACTGTTATTTTTTGAGATATATTTTTCCCTTTCCTCCTAAAAATAAATGTGCATCTTCCTTTCTTTCATCCCAACAAAAAGTCAACCAGCCAGCTAGACCAAAAATTTGAAAATTCTATCAGATAAGAACTGTTGCAAKAAAACCTTAAGGCATAAAAGTGAAGAACTCAGAAATTTTGAAAATAGTAGAGCTCAGTCAAGATTTGCCCTTTTATGTATGCTCTGTATGCATAAATAACTTCAAATAGACTTCAGTTATATGATCTCTCCATATCTTGGTGTCTTGGAAAAGTGTAGCAGAGACTGCTAAAGCTGGCATTAATACTGATTAACTGTCTCCTCTGAGTTTCAGGTTTAGGTACTCTTAATCTAGAATAAATTATCTACAGATAGAATTAGGAGGGGATTACTGACTGATAGCTATCAGCCATACATCCAGGTTTTATATGTAAGATACAATTACAAATCTGTCAAATGAAAATATATATACTGTCAAGTGTAATGTTGACACTGTATGCAGGAAGGAACATGAATTACTCAGATACTCTACTGATGAGAAAATACAATTACTGTCAAGATAGAAGAACATGCTATTTATTTTAAGGGTTTTGTCCACAGTATACTTTCTCTCTTAAATGAGACATAATTTTGCAAAATGAGAAAGAATTTTATTGTGTTTTTCAGTCCCATATAATCCTTTGATGGCATTCAGAGAAAGACTATCACAAGGCAACTGCGGAGAACCAGTATTCACACTGACCATAAATCTCTCATATTCTGGCAGCTGTGACTTTGCAGTTTGAAAAATCCTGTGACATGTTTGTAAAAGAAAATAGAGCTTACAGG